CCAATCAGATTGAGGCCTGCCTGATTTGAAGCATTTCAGGAATCCTGGAAGTGGGTAACAGGTACGCCCATCTTGAACTTTGGTAGATTCCAGAAACCAGCCTTGCGGCAGTGTCCCCACGGCAGCCCCGTCCGCGGGCACTGTGCCTTTCTCATCCTTCCATGACCCCCGCCCAACCCTCCTCTGGCACTCTGCAAGGTGGAAAAGCTACCTGTTTTAAAAGTTGCTTGAATTTCTTTAAATTTGACTATGATTTAACCACAAGTGATTTTGTGTACTTAGGCACTGCTTGTGTTCCATTTTTCTGTGACTTACTCATCCAAATCCTTCCCATTTTTTTTTTTCCTTTTGGGTTATTTGTCTTGATTTTTAGGCATTCTTTGGGCTTCCCAGGTGGTTCAGTGGTTACGAACTCACCTGCAGTGCTGGAGGCATAGGAGATGTGTTTGATCGCTGGATTGGGAAGATCTCCAAGAGGAGGAAATGGCTACCCACTCCAGTGTTCTTGCCTGGAGAATCCCATGGACAGAGGAGCCTGATGGTCTGCAGTCCATGGGGTCACAAAGAGTCAGACACAACTGAAGCAACTGAACACACACCGTAGGAGTATCTAGTTACTAAGCATTTGTCAGATATTCTAGAATTTTCTCCCACTCTATCATTTGCTCATAACTTTTGTATAACATATATCATAGTGTGGAACTTTTAACTGGGGAGAAGTTTAATCTATCAGGGTTCTCTGTTGGCAGTTGCTGGGATTCTGGAAATGCTGAAAAAGGCTTACTGTCCCAAGGCCATAGAAATGTTTTCAAGTCTTCTATTGATGTTATACTTTTAGTTTTACATTTGGATCTTCAGAGTACTTGGGATTTATTTTTATGTGTCACTAAACTAGGAATTTATTTTCTTTCAAAAAAGCCATCAGTTGTCCACTGTTCTTTGCCCCCTGATTTGAAATGACATCTTCCTTAATTTAAAATCCCCCCGCTCGCGGGCATCTGCATCTGGACCTTGAGGTTTTCTCTGCTGATTGAACCAGGGCTCAGAGCAGGGGAAGAAGTGGGGTGGCCAGGCCTCTCGCCGCAGTTCTCTGCCCCTGCAGCACACGGGCTCCCCTCTTTTTTCACATGTCCCATCATCCCCTCTGGCCTTGGTGTGCTTTCTCTTCCTCCTGTTCCTCTCCCCACAACCCCAGGCCCCTCAGGACCGCACCGTCCCGTCCAGCAGCATCCTTGGTGCCTGCTCACTCAGGGCACATGCCATGCACCCCAGTTTGGCAGGGAGTCTGCGTCCCTCTCCACATGATGGGTGTCTGCAGCCAGGGGTCATGTCTGACTTATCTTTGCATCTGCATTGTCTGTCAGGGAGCCTGGTGACAGACAATTTGTAAACTAAGGTTTGTTGACGGAATGCATGAACACGACAAAGAAGACAGCTGTCCTTCTAAAGACGTCAACTGTATCACACAGCGAGGCTTCAACCTTCAAGAATAAACAACATTCATTATTGGATAAAGTCTACAATAGGTGTTAGTCTAAGGACCCATTGTTCTGGGCTAAGAAGCAGAATACGCACGAAACTAACAATTTATGCCCCGACTCTCCCACTGGCTCCCCTGAACGAACCACAAGTGTCACCTCATTGTGTTTATTCCAGACTGGGCCTCTTTGGACCTGTGACTAGGAACTTCTGACGTGTTTGAGTCTGTATCTGCGTTAAATCGCTTGGGCCCAGGCCAGATAAATACACATCTGTAGACAGTTTCTAGTCAAAGCTGTGGTTTTTCCAGTAGTCATGTATGGATGTGAGAGTGGACTATAAAGAAAGCTGAGCACTGAAGAATTGATGCTTTAGAACTGTGGTGTTGGAGAAGACTCTTGAGAGTCCCTTGGACTGCAAGGAGATCCAGCCAGTCCATCCTAAAGGAGATCAGTCCTGAATATTCATTGGAAGGACTAATGCTGAAGCTGAAACTCCAATACTTTGGCCACCTGATGCGAAGAGCTGACTCATTTGAAAAGACCCTGATGCTGGGAAAGATTGAAAGTGGGAGGAGGAGGGGACAACAGAGGATGAGATGGCTGAATGGCATCACCAACTCAATGGACATGAGTCTGAGTAAACTCCGGGAGTTAGTGATGGACAGGGAGGCCTGGTGTGCTGCAGTCCATGGGGTCACAAAGAGTCGGACATGACTGAGCGACTGAACTGAACTGAGACAGTTTAACACATCCCTGAAGATAACTATAAAATCTAACTTCAGAAACCCTCTGAATAGTCAGTAAAGCGTTGGTGTTGTGTAACTATATGCATTTCTGCATTTCACTTTTCTATGACAGAATACAGCCGTCACTAAAAGCATAGCTGAGATATTTGGAGAAAGCCATTTATGTTCCCGTCAGGTGCCTGCCTCCTGACTTCAGCACTCTTTTCTGCTCTTCCTCTTCTACACCCAAGTTCCTCCTTCTCTGACCTTGAACGTGTAGATAAGTCCTCCACAGAGGGAGTGGGGATGAAAGGGTAGGAGGTGAACAGATTGATCCCAAGTGTTCCCCATGCAAATAACCTCACCTTCTCCTGCCCTGTTGCTGCTATATTTCCCACCCAAGTGAGGAAGGTCGGTGTGAGAAGCTCCCAGAGATTCTGCAGTTCTGTTGAGCTCAGCACCTTCCGGGTCTGTCATAAACTTTCAGTCGACCAGACGCTTTCTTTTTTCCTGTGCCTGCTGTAGCCTGGTTTGATCCCAGGTGGTGCAGTTGGTAAATAATCCACCTGCCAACGCAGGGGGACACAGGAGATGTGGGTTTGATCCCAGAGTCAGAAAGATCAAATTGGTCATTTCCCTTGCTCAGATGATTTTATATTTGGACAAGTCTGCTGTATGACATCTGAAGCCTGATATCCAAGGAGTGAATAGACAGGGTAGGAGGCTGGCGCTTGCCCATGTGTAGAAGGGGAGGTTTCACAGAGTGGGTACAGGTTGGTCTGTCCATGCACACTCCCAGGAGACTGAAATTCACTAGATTTCCCACCTCTTCTACTTTCAGGGAGAGGACACTGGCTAAGTTGTTAGAAGCTGGGTGCTCAGGCATGCCAGGAACCACTCTCCACAGATGTTCCTCCAGAAAATGTCACAGTGCCTTCTATGGGAGGCTTCCCGCCAGGTTCCCCTGGCCGGCGATGGCGGGGGGCGGGGGGGCTGCAGGCCCCCATGGCTCCAGCCAGCTTCCCTGAGGACAGCCTCTGAGACAGAGGGCCAGGCGTGATGCAGGCTGTCTCCTGTCTCACACTCCCTGGGGACTCTTGTCACTTTAATGCTTACATTTTGGTTTTGTGTTTTTTTTAACAGTTGCTAGTTGCTTTGGGGACTTTTCATTAGGCTTAAGTTTATGCCAGAGGGGGATGAAACAGACAAAAATGCAATGTGATAACAGACACTTGAAAGGAAACTATAGTTAAGTTGCCCGATCTCTCAGGAGAGAGATCTGGCTCGCTTGGGGACACGACTGCTTTTACGGAAATATCCGCCCGCTTAGAACTCCCCCAGGGCCGGGCTGGGACCCTTCTGTCTCTGAGGGCCCGTCTGGGGAGATGGAGGGGCTTCAGAAGGCTCAGACCCAAAACTGAAAGGCAGACCTAGGGTCATGTTTCCCGGGGCTCTGGGGTCAGGTCTTTTGACTGGCAGATACACAGGCAGATTAAGGATGAATCCCTAGCAAAGATTAATTCAGATTAAGAACCTGATTTCCAGGGCAGTGCTGGATCCTTTCCAGGCCAGACAGGGAAGAGTTCGTCTGTTTCAGTGCTTTTCATCATGTGTTCTCCACAGTGGGAGACCTGCTTTCAACCTGATTTGTTGTTCAGTTGCTCAGTCATGCCTGACTCTGCGACCCCATGGACAATAACCCATCGGGCTCCTCTGTCCATGGGATGCTCCAGGCAGGAATACTGGAGTGGGTTACCATTTCCTTCTCCATTCAATCTGATGAGTCTATTATTTATTTGCAAAGCAAAACCAAATTGATATTTATTCACACCCAGCCTCTGAATCTGCACAGTGTAAGTGATGTAGTTCATCGTAGAGTCTGAATGAACGATGTAAGTCGTGTTTCCTTCAACTGAGGATAACTTCCACCTCGAACATGAGAAACCCCGGCAGTTATAATTTGACTGATTTACTTCCCTGGTGGCTTAGATGGTAAAGAGTCTGCCTGTGATACAGGAGACCTGGGTTCAATCCCTGGGTTGGGAAGATCCCCTGAAGGAAGGCATGGCAACTCAAGTAATCTTGCCTGGAGAATTTCATGGACAGAGGAGTCTGGGAGGCCACCGTCCATGGGGTCACAAAGAGTCAGACAGGACTGACTGACTAACACTTTATCTTTTACTCCAGTTCTTAGGTTGATCCCAAAGTACTTTGTATTCTTTATGCTTTATAAACAGAAACTTTCCAGTGAACATAATTCTGCAGTGCCATGTTCACAGGCAGGTGAGAAAATCAGATGCCACATTAAGGAATTCCCTAGTAATAGCACAGTGCTTTCCAGACTCTGTGTTTCTAATTTTTCTCTAGAGTGTGGAATTGCACAGTATGATTTGGTGTTCAGAATCCAACTTGTTGGGCTTGAACTCGCATCTAGCTCAACTGATTCCTAATGGGTGCCCTTGAGAGGGGGCTTAGAGGGCCCCTCCCTCAGTTTCTCCATCCTGTAAAATGGGCTGGTGCTCATGACTCTTCCCTGAGTTCTGCAGATCAAGTGGGCTGTTCCTCTGCCCATCTGTCGAGGTCACTGTTCGCTGTCCCCATCAGCAGCAGCGGGCCTGGTGGTGGGAGGTGTGCTCAGAGCTCCCCTGCCAACGTCAGTAGTGCTGGAGGTGGTGGTGGGAGGTGTTCCCTGCTCACCGCCGCGTGGGTAGTGGTGTGAGGCACACAGGGCCACCTGGAGCGGTCACTGCGGGGCGCAGAGGGCCCAGCTGACCCTGTCCTCTTTCTCCCTCAGGAAAGTGGCAGATGCATGACGGCCTCCTGAACATCACCAAGGTGTCCTTCTCGGACCGGGGGAGATACACGTGCGTGGCCTCCAATGTGCATGGCTCCGTGAACAACAGCGTGACGCTGCGCGTGGTCTTCACATCGGGCGACATGGGCGTGTACTACATGGTGGTGTGCCTGGCGGCCTTCGCCGTGGTGCTGGTGCTCAACGTCACCCGCCTCTGCATGATGAGCAGCCACCTGAAGAAGACCGAGAAGGCCATCAACGAGTTCTTCCGCACGGAGGGCGCGGAGAAGCTGCAGAAGGCCTTCGAGATCGCCAAGCGCATCCCGATCATCACGTCAGCCAAGACGCTGGAGCTGGCCAAGGTCACGCAGTTCAAGACCATGGAGTTCGCCCGCTACATCGAGGAGCTGGCACGCAGTGTGCCGCTGCCCCCACTCATCATGAACTGCAGGACCATCGTGGAGGAGCTCATGGAGGTGGTGGGCCTGGATGAGCATGGCCACCAGAACTTCGTGCGCCACACGCCCGAGGGCCAGGAGGCCGCAGCCGCCGACGGGGAGGAGGTCTACACCATCCCCGACGCCGACTCTGATGCCTCCTCGCTGCACGAGCAGCCCCAGCAGATCGCCATCAAGGTGTCTGTGCACCCCCCAGCCCGCGGGGAGCCCTCGGACGACCGGGCCACGGGGCCCCTGGGGGCCGGAGATGAGGAGGAGGAGGACACCGAGCCGTCGGCCGAGCGCTCCCCGGAGTCCGCGGCACCCTCCACCGAGGTCACGTCGGCGGCGCTGACCTCCGAGGAACCAACGCCCGTGGAGGTGCCGGACCACGCCCTGCCGCCTGGTCTGCTGGAGGCCGCGGAGCCAGCTAGGCCGCGGGACGGGAGCACCCACGTCGTCTATGAAAGCCATGTCTAACAGTGTACCCCCCAACCCGAAGCTATGCACACCCCGAGATTCAGGGCCACCCCTCGGGACAGATGCAGGCCGCCCTCGCCGCTAAGCCTTACCGGAGACGCCTGTCGTAGGTAGGAGTCCGGCCCCCGCACGCACGCTGTGCGCCCCGCCGGCCCCCAGCCAAGGGGGACGCGAGCACCATCGGGGAGCGGGGGCGGTGACCTTGGGCAGGTGTCTGCCCACGTGACACGAACCTCAGAGGCTCTTCTCCGCCAGATAACCTTAACCGCCGCTGCCCTTTCGGCAGAGAACACTGACTGTCAGAGACTGAGTTCACAGCCCTGTCCCGGGCGCAGGGCGCCGCTCTTCCTTTGAAAAATGGGTCTGCTAAGGGAGTAGCTGCAGTCCATCCCTCCGCGGCTCTGTCGCACTTTCTTCTCAGTTTTGCCCCATCGTTGTCGCTTTATAACCCAGGCGTTGTGACGTGAATGCTGACCGTTCCTTTGGGTCCGTTCCCTTGGCCCCTCTGTCCTTATTTCCTACCCCCCGCCCAACCCCAGACTTTTACCTCGCAGGCTTTGGTGTCAGGGCCGATTCCCACGAGTCATCTTAACATTCCAAAGCAGCTAGCTACCAGCCTCCTGATGTTTGTCGTTTCCCAGGCCTGTCTCCATCGGTTGCTTTTTTTGTTTGTTTGTTTGTTTCCAATGAAGCTGCTGCTGTGAAACTGAGAGAGGAGAAAAAGAAAAAAAAAAAAAAAAGAAACAAACTTGCCCAGGAATAGCACTTTAATAGCCAAATAAAAATAGGTTTACCCGTCCCATTCTGAGAGCTTTTGGGTGAGCTCAGCTGAGGTTGGAGGGAGACCATGAACTTGAATCTGCCCACACTGCCCGTGGAAAGCCTTGTCCTTACGTCTAAGCAGTGTCCCCCTCCAAGCTGGCTGCTGCTTCACCTGGAAGGCTTGTCACCTCCAGAGACAGAGGCGTCTAAGAAATCCACTTAGGTGGGCCGCATGGAGCTCCCACCACGGCTGCCGTGGGCCATGGACATCAGGGGACCCCAATGCTTGGTTTAGGGCAGCAAGAGTGAGGGTCCTGGGGGTCGCCCCTCCAGGCCCACTCCTGTTGACTGCATGGCTGATTTGTCCATCCTTGAAGGGGGCGGTGACAGGTTAGGATAATGGCATCATCATGCCAGCATTCTTGAATTCATTTTTAGCCCCCACGAGAAGGTGGCTGTATGTGAGGCTAGAGTGATGTTACAGAAAAAAGCCGAAGCTAGTCACCTCAGGCCCGCACTTCGCTGGCCTGTGCTGATAACTGCTGTGGGCTTCAGGCAAGTGGGGGCACCCGCGCATTCCCCCGCTCCATCTAGGTGCTTCCCTTGCCCACAGAACCAAACCAGTATCGTCACCCTGCCCTTCTCCACAATAACTTCCAGGTTTTCACTGTCCTGTCTGGTTCCTCTAACATTTTTTATGCTGAGAATCAGTACTGTTGCAAATTTAAGGAACCAGCTTACAAAACTCAAAGCTTTTTAAGACAGTTGTGGATCTTCTGCCCCCAAAAGCATTAGAGCGATGTCCACAGTTTAGATGTAACAATGAAAAGGAGAGGTGTAATTTCATGGCCATTTATGAGCAGGGGTGCCGTAACCTTGAGGTTGGCAATCGTCATGAGCGTCACGGCCACGTCATGGGTCCACGAAGGTCCCTTGGGCCGCGCAGTTGTTGAACAGACCCAAGGCTTAGTCTTCACGTCCTCACTGTGTGGATGAGAGATTTCACTGCATCCCTGGGTTGAATCTTTCTTGTCTGCCAAACCCGGAGGTAGTACTTGGGTCCCCAGATCCCACCTGGTTCTGACATTTAGAGTTTTGTGGAAAGTTTGTCATCTCCCATGATGGACCCCCTTACATGAGACAAGGAGTCTTGGGAGCAGAAATGGGCCCGTGATGTTATTAGATGCTTTTGCTGCCAGCTTTTTCGGAAAATTCATCTGGGTCTGGAGTTGAGAACAGAGGGCTTGGCCTCAGTGGTTTCTCTGTGTAGAGATAACTAATGTGAAAGGTGGTCTGACAGGACACACAGTTGGGTCAGATTCCTCTTGGCCTCAGATGACCCGTTGCCATCAGTTTGGTGGTCACATAAAACATGAGAAGTGAAAATCCAGAGAAACCTTGACCCCCCGCATGGGCTCCCTGGACAAAGGTTTTCTGTATTTGGCCTGCGGAGAAGTTTCATCACCACGTCTTAGAATGTAAACATTTTTCCACTTGTTGTGGAGGTCAGTGGATCCTTACCATGGATCTGTGCACCCAAAGCCACAGCAGGGGCCCTAGCTCATTTTGGGGTCCCCAAATGGACTTTTTCCCATTCCGTCCCATTCTCCCTCCACTGAAACCCACATACAGGTTTCCACGTGGAAATGACAGGAGACGGCATATCCCACCTGGATGTTGGATACAGATAGTTAAACACAGGCAGACTTTTTATGAAAGCAGGAGCAGAACTGAGTGACCAAAGAATGTTTTCAGGTTGGTTTTAGCTTCTTTAGACTGGGGAGATTATGTAGATTTTTTAAATGTTCCCCTTTAAGGCATCAGAAAGCTCTTGATAGAATAATATTAATAGCCAACCAGAGATGAGGCTGGCTTACTACAAAGATGTCTCTGTCTCTTCCTATTTATGCTATAGCTTCTTTACGAAATAAAAATGCTCTCCCTCTAGAATAGGGGACAGAGTTAGTCTCATGACTTTCGCCTGGTTTTTCAAAGATAAATTGTTCAGCATCTAGAAATTTATAGAAGTATCGCTACATATGGCTCTTTGGGGCAGTTTTACAACTTAACACTGAATCCCAAGCCATGTCCTTTGGGTCTTAGGTCATTCTTCTCAAAAGCAAGCAGTTTCTGTTTTCCAAGTCATCTGGTCTTATCTATAACAATTTTTTTTCTCGAAGTTCCAAAAATGATTCAGATATGTGTGCATATTTAATTCACTGCAATGACCTGTAAACTTGGATGGTATTTATTCTAAATAGGGGAAAAACAATTTTATATTGCAAATCTATGTAATTTATAATGGTTTTGTTTTATATATATTTTCATATCTTTAGGGCACATCTACTATTCTCATCTTTTTGTATATCATACTTGACAAAAAGAGATACTAATACTTGACTAAATCTCTAGGAACCAAATGTGACATCTGTAACATATGGAAATTGCTCTAGAAACACCTGAATGTCCTCGCTTGTCCTGAATATTATTGTACTGTCTTTACACCCAGAATGATTGCTGTTGGGCATCTGTGTTTTTTTCCCCAAAGCCAAGGCCAAAAGTCCTGAACTCCCACACAGTGGAGTCTGGAATCCTTCACTTCTTTGTTGTGTGTTTCATTTTTAACTGTAGACATCTGTGTTGTTCAGACTTCCTTTGAAGGGCACGTATGGTAAGAAAGCAATTTGGTGGAGACTGGGCTTGAACAATGGCCGCATAGCTTATTCACTGAACTGATAATATTTCAAATATAATACATGGATTGTAAAAAAAAAAAAATACATGGATTGTTACTTATTGGTAACCTCTGATCTGCTCAGCTCTTTAGCCCATGAAGAAAATGTAAGGCAGAGAGAATGTTTGCTTGTTTTGAACAGGTAGCCTGTAAATGTAGTGCCACCAACACAAACCAGCTCAACCCTAGAGACCCCAATCCCTGCTGGCTGAGGAGCTGTTTCAGAAAGGCAAACCAGCCCACCTTATGTGCAGGTTGAATTTCAGTCTTATACCAGGGCTTCCCTGGTGGCCCAGACAGTAAAGAATCTGCCTGCAACACGGGAGACCTGGCTTCAATCCCTTGGTTGGGAAAATCCCCTGGAGAAGGGAATGGCAACCCACTCCAATATTCTTGCTTGGAGAATCCCATGGACAGAGGTGCCTGGCGGGCTTCAGTCCATGGGGTCACAAAGAGTCGGACACGACTGTGTGACTGCCACTTTCACTTTTTCACCAGTGCTGAAATTCCTCATGGCCCCAGTGGTTCTGTGAACAGAGGTTTCCTCTCGGTGTTTCATTGGGTGAGAAAACAGAGCATTTAGCTTATCTTTCTGATACTCTGTTTTATACTCAGCGCAGTTCAATGACTGCCCAGTATCCATCTTCACACACCCTTTTTGCATTCCCTTGACATCATAATCCCTGTTTCTGTTCTTGCTTTTTAGACTAATTCATTGGTACCCTTTAAATAGCCACCAAATCTCATTATATAGTCACCCACATATTTGGATCTCTGTTGCTTCCAAGGTGGGCTGTCTCTGGTGGCTCAGCAGTGAAGAATCCACCTGCAATGCAGGAAATGCGAGTTTGACCCCTGGGTCGGGAAGATCCCCTGGAGAAGGGAATGGCAACCCACTCCAGTATTCTTGCCTGGAGAATCCCATGGACGGAGGATCCTGGCGGGCTACAGTGGCAAAGAGTTGGGTACAACTTAGCAACTAAACCGTCATCATCTTCAACATATTAGTCATTTTTACATTCACCTATTCATTTGAAAATCCTCTAGTAGATAACAAAGTTCATCTTCCTAATGACTTATAGGGTTTCTACAGTGATTAACAAGGTTTGGATTAAACAAATCCATGGTGGGGTGAAAAATCAAATAAAACAGCACTGCTTATTTTGCTTTCTGAAAGACTGGTTGTCTGTCATACAAGAAAATATCATAAGACAGTGATAATGACCTTTAATTAAGACTCTTTTAGAGATGTCATTTGTAAGGGGTCTAATGCTCAGAATGCCGCCACCGAACTTAAGCTCATAGAGAATGTAAAAACAAAGCAAATAGGTCTAAGAATATTCCTGCATAAATTATTTTTATTTAATGAAGAATGTAAACCTTCAGTGTATCTCTCAGACACCCTAGCGCTGCTCACAGAAGGTGCTGCCACTTACGTTTGATGTGCTATCCCTCTGGTTCTGAATGTTCATTGTTAAAACTGGGAAATAAGATGGAAAAATGTACCTGGGTGGAAATGTCACTGTTGATTTGTGAGCTATAAATGTTCACCTTTTAAAAATAATTTAAATGTATACACAAATGATTAATATTTAAGTTGATATAGCAGCAAAAAAAAAAAGAAAGAAAATGTGAGCCATCCTGTACTTTGGTTGTTGCTTTAATAAAGGATTTGCACAGGTGTGCCGAGCGTGCCGTGTCCCTGGTCAAGGCTGTGTGCATGTGGCCTGATTTACTCTTTATCTGTAAGAAGTATGTGGCCAGTGCTCGTCCCTGCCTTTTGCATCTGCAGCATATCTTAGGGGAAAGGGGGGAAAGGAAGTAATTTTTATGTGAATCTACAAACTTTATCCAAAGTCAAAAATCTTAGCTCTGTCCTAACGAACTTGATGGATATTTATTTATATCAAGAAGGAATTTTAACATGTAACATCAAGCTTATTGCAGAAAATCCACAAAGACCAGGAAACTCACCCAAGAGAAGGCATTAGTTGTAGACCTCATGCAGAAACCTGAGGCAGCACCCAGTTCAGGCCACATTGCTCTGAATGTGCCCACTGAAAGTTCTCAGAGCTTATTCCTCTCAGATAAGATGAGATTGTTGTTCAGCCACTAAGTGGTGTTCAACTCTGTGACCCCATGGACTGCAGCACACCAGGCTTCCTTGTCCTTCACTATCTCCTGGATTTTGCTCAAATTGATGTCCATTGGCTTGGTGATGCCATCCAGCCATCTCATCCTCTGTCACCTGCTTTTTTTCCTGCCCTCAGTCTTTCCCAGCATCAGGGTCTTTTCTAATGAGTCAACTCTTCACATTAAGTGGCCAAAGTATTCGAGCTTCAGCATCAGTCCTTCTAGTGAATATTCAGGGTTGAGATAAGGCTGTGTACATGAGACAAAACTGGACAACACCAGATGGGAAAGAAACTAAATTTTGCTGCAGTCTGAAGAGGCAAACAAAATTATTGAGTGGGTTACCCAAGAAACCATGCACATAACTAAGATCTGTAAGTTCTTCAAACAAAAAAGGCTTTAAGAGAACTGCAGTGGCATTAATGGAAACTTAAGCAAATGTGCCATCAGGGAAGAGAAAATAGGAAAGTTTTGTCCTAATTGTGTAATGCTGATTGGTAGATATTTTCAGACTCAGGACAAACAGCTGCTAATTTTTGTGCTTTTATTTTTAACAGGTTTTGGAATAGTTCATTCTTCCATGGGCCTTAATCAAAAGAGCCTAGGTAAGCCTTCATCTGAGGGATTTTCAAGTGTGTAGTCACAGAGTTGGAAATTAAGTGTCAGGTTTTCTGATTTCCCTATCTTTTTGGCAGAGTTGCTAACACACATGGTTCTGCTCAGCTTGAACATCTCTGGTGAAGCGGAGCCTGTGACCACATGGAGGAGATACTCGGGTGTTGGTAGGTTTTAAGTGCCAAGTCAAAAATCTTAAAAGTGGTTCTACACTGGTCCTTGTCCAGCCATTTGGAACAGAAAGCATGAATTTGTCCTGCTGCAATAAAGTCATCCTTTTACCATCAACCTAAAAAGACAGTTATAAATGTATTTGTGTTGAAGAGAGGATTACCAAAAAATGTGGGTGCTCCTGACACCACTAGGGCTTCCCAGCTGGCTCAGATGGTAAAGAATCTGCTGGCAATGTAGGAGACACAGGTTCGACCCCTGGGTCTGAAAGATCCCCTGGAGAAGGGAATGGCTACCCACACCAGTATGCTTGCCTGGGAAATGCCATGGACAGAGGAGCCTGGTGGGCTAGAGTCCATGGGGTCGCAGGGAGTCAGACACGACTGAGCCACTTCACTTCACTGGCACCACTATCTTAATTACATATCACGTGACTCACACTCTTTTGAGTTTAGATGGTTTCTGCCAACAGGGTGTTGGAGGCAGAAGTCAGGCGATTCTGGCGCTCCTTTGACCCCTGAGATACCCTGAGGCTACAGTTCATTAAATAAAAAGACAGTTCAATGGTTAGAAAAATGAAAGAATCATCAAATTAAGTGGCTCAGTAGAGGAGTGTATTTTGGAAAGACGATTAGAACTGATGTACTGAAAGAAATGTGGGCTTCCCAGGTGGCTCAGTGCTAAAGAATCTGCCTGCAATGCAGGAGACACAGGTTCAATCCCTGGGTGGGGGAAGATCCCCTGGAGGAGGGAATGACAACTCACTCCAGTAGAGGGGCTGCTGGGCTACAGTCCATGCGGTCACAGAAGAGTTGGACATGACTTAGCAACTAAACAACAAACAAAAATTGAACGAAGTATATGTATGTGTTTGTGGTTTATTGAGGTATTTTTAAATAACAGGTGAAGTAAAGCCTGTACCGACTGCGTTTAACTATTAAGTAACATGAAGATGCCAAGAGTAAGAATTTTCCTAAGATATTAACTCATATTAAATAAGCTAAAAGATAAGCACAAAGGTTGATAGCATATGAATTTTTCAACAAGCAGATTTTTCACAACATTTTTCTTATAGGATTTTCTTATAATGAACTCAATTTTAAAGCTCATTATGGAATAGAGATCCCCATGAATCATACAAAAAATCACCTGTACAATGACCCCGAGCTAGATTAAGGGATTTTTGTTGTTGTTCAGTTTATATGCTGTGCAGCATCTATTTCTTGAAAGTTCTCATGACTCCTTTGAAGCTCAGGTGCACTGGAGACCCCGAGGGGATCCGTGTCTCTGACCGTTAAGTCTGATAGATTATTCCACCTGCTGTGCAACACTTACTCCTCCCAGCCATTTGACTAGGTGAATAAAGTTGTTCCAAAGCTTTAAAAGGGCTTCCCTGGTGGCTCAGATGGTGAAGAATCTGTCTGTCAAATCAGCAGACATAGGTTTGATTCCTGGGTCAGGAAGATACCCTGGAGAAGGAAATGGCAACCCACTCCAGTACTCTTGCCTGGAGAATCCCATGGACAGAGCAGCCTGGTGGGCTACAGTCCATGGGGCCACAAAGAGACACAAGTGAGTAACTGAGCACAAAGCTTTAAAAGTACTCTTTAATTCTAAACATCAAGGGTTTTACATGAAGTGGGGGAAAAGTGACAAGTTCATTTGAACAAAGAGGTATAAGTCTTCAGTTCCAGCTGGACACGTGGCCCTCACTATTGGATGATGTTTTCTGTCTTTCCTGCTAGCATTCCTTACTCTCTGGGCCAGAGAACAAGGCTATTATGCAGGAAGGAAAAGGCTTGATTATGGATAGAGACTGTGAGAAAATTCATCCACCATGTATTAGACCCTTGAACATAAAAGATGTACATTTTAATGTTGGCTCTATTTGAAATTATTTTAAACCTGAAGCATTACAAAAATTAAAACCTGGCACCAGATGACACCACCCTTACAGCAGAAAGTGAAGAACTAAAGAGCCTCTTGATGAAAGTGAAAGAGGAGAGTGAAAAAGTTGGAAAGTGAAAGAGGAGAGTGAAAAAGTTGGCTTAAAATGCAACATTCAGAAAACTAAGATCATGGCATCCAGTCCTATCCCTTCATGGCAAATAGATGGGGAAATGATGGAAACAGTGACAGATTTTATTTTGGGGGGGCTCCCAAATCACTACAGATAAAGACTGCAGCCATGAAATTAAAAGATGCTTGCTCCTTGGAAGAAAAGTTTTGACCAACCTAGACAGCATATTAAAAAGCAGAGACATTGCTTTGCCAACAAAATATGGTTTAAAGCTATGGTTTTTCCAGTAGTCATGTAAGGATGTGAGAGTTGCACTATAAAGAAGGCTGAGCATAGAAGAATGATGCTTTTGAACTGTGGTGTTGGAGAAGACTCTTGAGAGTCCCTTGGACTGCGAGGAGATCCAACCTATCAATCCTAAAAGAAATCAGTCCTTAATATTCATTGGAAGGACTGATGCTGAAGCTGAAACTCCAATACTTTGGCCACCTAATGCAAAGAAGTGACTCAGTGGAAAAGACCCTGATGCTGGGAAAGATTGAAGGTGGGAGGAGAAGGGGACGACAGAGGATGAGGTGGTTAGATGGCATCACTGACTCAATGGACATGAGTTTGAGTAAACTCCGGGAGTTGGTGATGAACAGGGAAGCCTGATGTGTTGCAGTCCATGGGGTCACAGAGTCGGACACAACTGAACTAAACTGATACACATCTGTGGGCTTCCCTGGCGGCTCAGTAGTAAAAACTCAGGTTCAATCCCTGGGTCAGGAGGATCCCCTGGAGAAGGGAATGGCAACCCGCTCCAGTGTTCTTGCATGGAGAATCCCATAGAGGAGCCTGGCAGGCTACAGTCCATGGGGTTGCAAAAGAGTCAGACACAACTCAGCAACTAAACAATAATAACAACCATATTTGTAGATTAGATTACTTCTATTACTAGAAGTAATTTTGAAAGTGTTACAACCTCAGAAATTAAATTTGTAGGAGAAAAGAAAGATGACAGCTGATGTGAGGAATCTGGGATCATTACATTTTTTTTTATGTGCAGAATATAGCTTTCCTAGCTTTTTGTCATTACAATAATTATTGAGATACATTAATGATATTTATGAAACTGCTGGGCAGGTCCTGAAAAAAAAAATTTAACATGTCTTTAAAAAATACTTATAGGTGGATAATTCTTATATCATGCTATTTTATGTTACTTTCTCCCATCCCATAATGGATTAGAGGTGATTGAGTTAAATATGTTTTACTTTCTGTGCATCCTTTGAAGTTTGGAACTGCTGTGTTTGACACAAGCTCACTAACTCAATAACCAGATTACTAGATTAATCAAAGATTTTACTCCCAATCATTTTGAATCAGTAAGAGACTTTAAGAAAGACTCTAGATGCAGGACAGCTGGTGTAATCATCTTGTTATCTAGAAATGCTCTTGTCTATAGCTGAAAATGAAAGGTTGTGTGCCACAACACGAGCAGAAGACAATGATGCCATGCTCACAGACTGGATGTTTGGATCCCCTCGGAAACTGGGGGAATCCCAAACCCCAGGGTGATGCATTTGGCGATGAGGCCTCTGGAGGGTAGTGAGGTTGTGAGGGTGCAGCCCTCAGGAATGGGGTTCGTGTCCTTGGAAAAGAGGCCCAGAGGGCTCCAAGGGCACAGTGAGAAGACAGCCGTCTCTGAACCAGAAAGCCGGCCTCAGCAAACAGTGCTTCTTCAGAGGCTTGGTTACAAACTCTGCAGCCTCCAGAACCGTGAGCAATGAATGCTTTCTGTTTAAGATGCCAGTGTGTGATAGTCACACTTTCTATGCTGAGAATTCTGGGTGCCCGTAGGGTTGTAAGAAAGAGCACAGAGAGATGTCATGCACACTTGACTGGTTCCCCCAGGGGTCACCTCTTAGCAGAAGCATTGTGCACCATCACAGTCAGGGCACCAACACTGGATCAGCGTCTCCAGGGTCAACCATGTTGCTCCGGTTTTACACACTGTTTGTGCGTGTGGTTCTGTGACATTTCACCACCTGTGTACGTCTGCACATCCACCACCACCACCTCCAAGACGCAGAACATTCCAGGAGGTCAAGGATCCCTTAGTTACCCTTGTATAACCACACCTTCCTCCTTCCCACCCCAGAACACATGTGTTTTTTATAGCAGTAAACTAATTAGATAACTGAAGTTTCTCTGGAACCAACTGTAATCAGTGTGTTTTTCCAATAGTAGTTGGTCAGTCGCTCAGTCGTGTCCGACTCTCTGCAACCCCATGGACACCAAGCTTCGCTGTCTTTCCCTATCTCCCTGAGTTTGCTCAAACTCATATCTATTGAGTCAGTGATGCCATCCAACCATCTCATCCTCTGTCACCTCCTGCCCTCAATCTTTTCCCAGCATCCAGGTTTTTTCCAATGAGTCAACTCTTCCCATAAGGGGGCCAAGATATTGAAGCTTCAGCTTTAGCATCATATTTTCCAGTAGAAATAAGTGTGCAGATTTCTGTTTCTTGGCGTCTGAGTTCCTGCTTTAGAAGTACTGGTACAATGCAGGCAGACAAGTATGGTTTCTGAAACCAAGGAAAGACCACCAGACACTTGAGTCCCTAGAAAGCCCTTGAGAAGGAGGGACTCGAGGCAGGTGTCTTGTTGGAGGGGTCCTTGGACTCCGAAATCACAGCCTGCACCCGAGTGCAGCAAGAAGATGCAGAGCACCGAACAGAAGCGTGGGGGCTCCATGCCTTGAAAAGCCTCAGAGACAATGTCCTCCCTCCACAGTGTCGAGATACACTCCAAAGTTCCAAAGCTAAGGCACAGAGTGGTAACAGTCAGTGGTAAAGCCTCGGACACCCTCTGATACTACTGGTCTCATTCGCCTTGCCTGCGTTTCCCCAGGGTGACAGGAGCCAGAGAGGAGTGCCAGTCCCGAGCCTGTCACTTCTGATGTCATGTTAGGAAAGCATGAATGCCGGTTACCGTCTCAGGGGCTGAGGCCAAGACAGCTGGCCACAGTAAAAGGTCCTCTGCCCAACCCAGGAAAGTGTAGGAGACAGCTTCCAGCATCTGATGAGCCTTGAAGAGTCCTCATTCAAAGCCACTGAAATGG